AAATCTGTTGGCGATCAAATATTCAATATCGCTACTCATCATAAGCACTGTAACGTTACATCATCAGCGCAGCGGGAGACGTTCAAACTAATATCACGTAATTTACGTCTCCTAAATCAAAGACGGTTGTGTCAGCGGAGCCAGTTAGTGTATGTGCACTATTTCATAATGGTGTCAGAATAGCTACCATGTCAAAAGATACAATTCTACAAATATTTTGCCTGCCACGGGAGCAAATTCAGCAGCTTTTATATCTTGTTGGCCCAACTTTGTCGAGAAAACTCGACGGAGCTACCCCCTAAGCCCCAAAATTCAGCTGCTGGCGCCTCTTCGTTTTTATGCTGTGGGGAGTTTTCTGGAGGTGGTTGGGGATGGATATGGGCTGAGTAAGACATCGGTGTGACGGGGCATTCACTCAGTCACAAACATCCTGCTCCATCACGCCACCGATTATATAGCTTATATGCCTTTCGCCAGGCACGAAGTGATGGAGGCAAGACTTCCATGCCATTGCGGGTGTCCCGTGAGGTCGGGACACTTTTCCCCATCGCCAAATCATCAGCGCTCGACCAGGCCTTCATAATATAAATGACCCTTTCAAAAGCAAGCGAAGCCAAACAGCCAATTAATGTAGCTGGTTAAGGCAGAATACTTTTGGGTGTGAGGGTGCAGGTTTGCACACTTGCAAACGTGTATATATACATACACGCATACAAACACACACATACAGGGGCGTAGCAGCCATTTTAAAAGTGTGTGGGGGGGCAGCTGTCAGGGGATGTGACCCTCAACGGCCAAACAAATTATGTACATAATGTACAAAGTACATTCATGTTCACATAAATTCTATATAGAATAATAATTGGTGTGATTTAGAGCACCCTAATGGCAATTTTAGGAACATGCCATGATAGCTTACAGGAAGCAAGACAGCTTACAGGGACCTATTTTTTTGTGATATCAGACTCAAAAACATTAACTCTAACCCTAATTCAAAAATAACTGCAGGACTTGGGACTTTGAGACCACTGTGGAAATCTATACTTTATTTTTATTAAATAGAGATTTTATGCACAATATTTCAGCTACACTACACTTAAACGATAACTTGTATCCTCATTCTTAACAGTTGGATAAAAAAAGTGTTTTAAAAAAACTATTGGAACACACTGCCTTTACCTATACAACAAATTGTATTTAACAATTTGAACATAAAATGAAAATATATATTAATGTTTAATTCCTTAAAACATTGGCAAGTAGTCCCAGTTCAAAACAAAAACACTGCCTTAAAATAATTCTCTTCTTTCAAGTTCTCACCTGTAGAGCAACTGCCCCCTCTCTCTCTCTCTCTGTGTCTCTCTGTGTCAGTGACAGACCAGTTAAAGTTAAGAACAGAACAGAACTGCACAATAAAGCGCTATCCAGAGTTGTGCTATTATTGGGCTGTGTCGCAGTAAATCAGTGCGCTGTCACACAGTCACCACAGGAGGTCGCTGCAAACTAAGCGACAAACCTCAAGCAGCGTCCAAACGTCTAGCAGAGCTAAATGCAGATGAAATACCAGTTTCATAGCTAGACCATATTTATTTTTAAATTGCATTCTATTTTTATTTTATAAATAATGACATTAACAAACACTTGTTTTTTCTGTTGTTGATTTATTGTCTCAGTGTGCCACTGCTGTCTTATAGTAGCCTATTTCTGGAAAAAGAAGGCACCATGGTTTTGCCTTTATTCTCATTCATTGCGAATAAAACCTAATCTATAATATACGATTATAGACAAAACAACGTCGATGGTTGACAGACAAACTGACTAACTATTAGTCTAATCGACACTTGACTAATGTAATTATAATTTTATATATAACTATATATTTGGGGGGGGGGGGGGGGGGGCAAGTGG